TATTTCAGTATATCTTTTCATGTGACAACACTGAAGAAATGACACTTGGCTACAATGTAAAGCAGTGAGTATACAGCTTCTATAAGAGTGTAAATGTGCTGTCCCTTCAAAATAACGCAACACACAACCATTAATGTCTAAACCACTGGCAACAAAAGTGAGAAACATGGGATTTAAACAATTAAATAAATGTTTAAATCTGTCAATAATACCGCCCCTGTCTATTTTTGTCTCCACAGGGTGAGGGGCTATCTGACAGAAAAGCCTCCACGTGTGAGAGAACGCCATACGTGACATGCTGTTTTTTCTTCAAACTGCCTTTCTTCACATGGAGAAACCGACAAGCAAGGGATGGGGTTAAAACTCTCTTCATGCTTACACATTCCGGTTAACCCTTTTCTGAATGGGGTTTGCATCTATCTTTTTAGGAGAAAATGAGCATTACATTCTTTTGTTTCCACTTTCTCTGGCCTGCCTTATCAAAGAACAATATAAAAATTAATGCAACTTTGTATTCGCGAAGGCTTTGCTGTTTTTTTGTGCAACAGTACCCTCTGGTGCCACTACGTGAGAAAGCACTAGAGGAAAAAGTACTCCACACAAAGAACTAAGAGTTCCAGATAAAGTTCTATTATTATTTCTTCTGTGCAGTCTTTTGCTTCAGTTGCGTCTTCTTCCAAGTCTCTGGAGAGACATCTCAAAGAACATTGTTTGGCGTGCTTCCCTCATCTTCATGTAAGCTATGAGGATTTCACATTATCACGTTCTTGAAGATGCCCATTTCATTAGCTATGAACCTCCCAATCTGGATGTCTTGATTTGTTCCTTTCTTAATTTGTCAACTTTTGGATATCCAAACTGGCTAAAGAAGGCATCCTTCCTCAGGAAAAGATGCAGATTAAGTTTTGCTGGTTTTACAAAGAAAGGGCAGCCAAGGGTACAATTCCTCCTCTGTGGAGAATTTCAACAATTTATCAACAAGATTCTGGTTAAGTCAAAACGCTCTGGGAGCATCATGCCACCTTATGGAGCCTGCCTATCACCTTCAGTTTCAAGTCTATATGAGGTAAGGGCAGCACACATACACATGTACATCCATGCCTACATGCACATGCATACAGAGAGAAAGAGGGGAAATGACAGGATTGCTCAGACAATGAGAGATCCAAGCCCATTGCAATGTTCTTGCTCAAGATGGCTAAGACAAGGGGAAAGGTTATTTCAGTAAATACAAGAGAGGAGCCAAAAGCAACCTCAGTCAGGAGAACAGGTTGTGCACCACTGCTTCAGAGAGAGACCTGGACAAAGATCCACAGAGGTTCTCCCTTACCTGAAAAGCAAGTTTTACTTCCACACATTGCTTTGTTTTCTCCAGATCAGAATAGAGGACAACTGCTGTAATTTCTAGCTCCATTCTTAAATGAAAATGGAATTCTAAAAGGCAGAGTAGCCCCCTTGTCTATAGTCCAGGAGACGTTTCCGTGTATTCTAACAAAAGTGAAACAAGATGCAGCTGCTCTTTCATTTTATTTTGTCATTTTATCAATCATAGTTTTTTTAAAATTGAGGAAAACTCTTACAATGTAATATCAATGGGAAGGAAAAGACAAAAGGAAAGTGGACCATGGGTGATAGTTTATCAGATAAATGTAAACAATAAATCATCCTCTTATTTTGTTCAAAGTTCTGATTCAGGATCTT